GTCTGCTCTACTGTTATTATTTTTACATCTATGCTTCCCTCTGGTGGACAACAAGGAACACAAATATACCTTTTAATTGATTGTCCTGTGATGGACTGTAGACCAGGGAGTGCAACACATCTTGACCAATAGGCTTGGGTATTGCAACGACCCTGAGATTTAATAAAAAAGAAATTAAATAAGTGTAAAAAAACCCCAGATTGAATTGAATTGAATTGAATATACTTTATAAATAGATAGATAATAGATAATAGATAATAGATAAATAGATTTTTCAAATTTGAGAGAAGATTATTTTATAAAATATGTTGATAGAAATGTATGTGAATTTTATTTTGTATATCTTCGTTGTCATGAATGATAAACTTGTTTTAATCTTTCCATATAAATCTACTACAGGCAAAAGCTTTAAAAATTATTATTACTGCTATTTTCACGTCAGAGTGAAATAAAAAAAATTTCAGATTCCTTTTATTAAATGCAATTCTTTTGCCCTTGTGAAAAACAACTTTGCTTAAAAAATTGCTTCTTTTTTATAACATTCATTAGTAAGAGGCAGACAGACAGTAAATAATTTCACTCTGAAGACATCCCTGTTTCGGATCACTGCTAATGGACCATGTCATGTAGGATACAGATATTAAATATTTATCATCCTGATAAAAAATTCAAAAAAATAACTTGCTTTTTCAAGTTATTCAAAAAGAATGGGGCTGAAATCTATATTAAATATTGACAAATGAGTGTGAGAAGAGCACATATTTTATTTTAAACCCTCTGCACCATATGAGGACTTCCATCTGTTTCTTTGAAAAGCAGCTTGTGTGTGTCTTTTCTCCTCATGAATAATTGAGTGTCTGCTGTAAATGGAGACATCTGTCTGCTGTAACCATCCACTACATTAGGTCAGTGTACACAGCTTCCTGTGTGTGACCGCCCTCAGAGATGCGTTTTACCATCAGTCCGTTTCACACACTGAGCATCACACACTGAGCATCACACACTGAGCATCACACACTGAGCATCACACACTGAGCATCACACACTGAGCATCACACACTGATCATCACACACTGAGCATCACACACTGAGGCTGCTGGTTTCCTATTCCGACCAAACTCGGGTGCTAAAGTGTGAGGAAATATTGACATCTTGGAACTTTATGTGTACTATTGAGAAAACAAAGGTTGGTATATGTATTCAAAGTGTGAGGGGCCAACACCACTGAGGAAGACCAAAGGCTTTTACTAGAAACTTAATTTATTTAGTCTAATTAATTTTTTTAAATTGAAGCAGAATGAGCCATTTTCTTGTGATTGATACGGCTCCAAACTGTAAATATCTCTATCCCACCTCTCCCATTTTGCTTATCCATTCTGCTAAAATCTTAATGGTGTTAATTTTCTATTGATGTAATAAATAGTAGCCTAAATGTACATAGAAAATACCTGACTGGCGGTGGTTCTTTTACCTGTAATTGGGACAATAATCTAAAATTATCGAGAGGTATGCCTTTATGATTCACTGTTCAAGATCTAATTCAACCCCGGGGACTTCACTTATTGCCGATAAGTGTCCTCCATAGTGGATATCAGGTTTGTCTTTAGTGAGACAGTTTGGAGTTGACCTCAGAAATGGACCCCCGTTTGGGGGGTGGGGGGTTACTTAAAGCGAAGGGGGACGTTAGATTTAAGCTAGACAGAAGGGGAGGAAAGGGAGAAGGGCAGATAGATTTTCAGGCTGGCAAAGGTATTCTTAATCAACAATCAGACAACTTTTAGTGGTAAGTTTTACTCTTGAAAGCTTGGAAAAACTGTAGATCTCACCTGCTTTTGTATTCCTTTTTGCGTCTAAAGATTTGAGGTGTGGGACCGGGTTTAATTGCATCTGATGAAGCATTATGAGGAATCATCTCTCCTGGAAAAGGAAAATAATGAGCCTTGTTCCTTTGTGTGGGTGAATGCATGCACATTCATTCATTCATTCACGGGGGGGCACAATAGCCGGCTGTCCCCGGGACCACTGACACGTTCATGTGGCCGCACAGCCCACGGGACGCATTCCCCCTGTGCCGGGCGTGGGTGGCCAATCCAGAGCGTCAGCGGGGAACTGGGCAGCTCTGTGACGCTCCCAAATGTCAGTAGTTGATTAGGAAAAAGAAAAAAAGAAATAAGAGAGGAAGGAGAAGTTGGGAGTCCGAGTCGGAGACGGGTGATGTTGTGCGTTTGTGTTCTTTTTCTCTCGATTTTCATCTGATCCAAAATGAAATGGCTGCTGTTATTGTGTTTCTGATGGGGGTTCGAGGTCATGATTTGGATTGAGAAAGGTTTTTGGATCTATTGAGGTTAGCTTTTTGTTACCGACACACAGTGGGACTGTGAGGTGAGTTGACTAGCTAAATGCTGAATTCATGGTCCTATTTCTTCACAGATCTTCAGTAGCTGCTTTGTACGGGGTGTGTAATCAAATACACAAAGTACACTTCAATTTTTTTCCGTCAACGCTGAATTTTTATAGTTGAGAATCCTTTCTAATGTTCATCACCTTCAGAGTACTGAGAAAAGTGAGTAACTGTTTAACGCAAAATGCTGATTGTAGATTGAAAACAGGTTGGCAGCAAAGATTCTTAACCTCCCGAGAGCCTTTTCTCATTTGAGGACACTGCATTTCTGCCTCTCTGTACCAGGATCCTTCTTTTTTCTTTGACCTTTGACCTCTTGGCCTCATAGCAGATGCTATCAGACACTACTGTTTTAAATTTAAAGGAAAATGCTGTCAGACATTTTACACCAATCCTGTTCTTATAGTGGAATTAAAACTTTGTAAATAAGTCAGAACCAAACTGCAAAAAGATTTAATTGAAAATTCAAACAAACATCTTAAATCTAAAGATAAACCGAATGAGCCTATGTGAAGAAAAACTACCTGTTTTGATGACCATGACAAAGTCTAGTTTTTAAACTTATTAGCTCCTACTGATCCAGAGATCTGGGAAAAAAAAGGAAAAATGAACGGCAAATAAATGCTCGGCTCTCAGGAGGCTATAGATTCTGGTCAGAAATTGAAAGAATGTTTATTTCATGGAAAAATAAGCTCTTTCTCTGGTCTCTGATAATTACATTCATTTCAATTTCTCTTGGAGAGATATTAAAAGTTGGAGTAGTTTCATGATGAAACATCTGCTAACTTGTCTTTACTCCATCATACTCTCTCTGTCTCTCTTTCTTACTTCTTATTGTATCTCTACTAGGGGAAAAACCTGGATAATTAGAATAAATAATCAGGAAATATAAGAAAAAAGGGTTCAAATTGAGAGAAAAACTAAATAAATAGTCTTTTGTAGGTAGTCTTTTGTAGAGGCAATGAACAGCCACATATCATTATTGATTTCAGAGACAAAATGTATTGTTTTTTCTGTTTTAAGAGAGTTCCATACGTAGAAGGTTTCAACAGGAGGGAAGGGGGGATGTTGGGTAAATTATGCTACTGCCTGGCTCCACACAGACGGTCATCGTTTCCCACACAGCCAGTAGAGGTCCTCCTGGGTCTGCTGCATCATTAATATAGACACCCTCATTATCTCATGATGTCATTGCTGAACTGAATGCTGTGATTGGCTGGCTGTGAGTGATGCACCATGTTGATGAGTACTAGGACATTTTTATTTTGTCCACATTATGGAGGGAGACACAAGTCTGCTAAAAAGTCAACTTATAGACTAAATAATTATAGAAAAAGCAAGTTCCGATATAAAAGATTATTTTTTTGTTCTAGACCTGTTTGACGGCTATGAATCAGACAGATATTGATCGGATATCATTAAAACTGTATTGTAAAGATTTTGTGACATACACCAGTTATGTGTTTTTATGTATGCTATATTTATTATTTAGGTTTATTCATGTAAGTCATGTTGCTTAGTTCACAGTATTTCAGTTTCCTGCATTGATTTTTCTTTAAGTAACTTTATGATTTAAAAAAGGATCATTTAACCAGTCCCCCAGGGATTAAAACCAGGAACTCTCTCCTTAAAAGATCATTTTTTTAATTTGTTCAATATTCGCTAACAATCACTGTTATTTATACCTTTGAGGGTTTGTCGTCAGGACTGGCGGCGTAAATTTAAGAAAAAATATTGATCTTCCTCACTATAGGACAAATGTCCTGTTATATTTCAATTAGATTCTTAAATTTGATGAATATCTCTCTATACCAGAAAGAGCATTAAGATTTTATTTGTGCTTGTGCTTCAGTTTTAGATATTGCGATAAGCTGATACAAATTAAGAATTATTTACGTAACACAATTCAAGTCTCCATCTGAGGCTGAGATAGGTGAGGCTTAAGTGTTGTTTACTAATTAATCCAATCCCCAATTTATCCCCGGCCACGGCGCTTAGAGCCATCCCCCCCCTTCCCCCCCATGGTGTGTTTTCACTTTCTCTAGTGTGTCTCTAAATCTCCTTGCATCATAAGACCTATTTTCCCCCCATAAACACCACTGCCATTGAAGTTAATGTTAATT